TGGCCTCCGGCTTCATTTGTAAAGTGAATGTGCAGCAGCTTGTTCTTACAAGCAAATGTACACACATACTTGCAGGATGTTGTGTATGTTCACTGTACCATGTCAACAGGACTAGAACCCTCTGCATCCACAACCTGTGGAACATGTGCCCCTTCCCCCATTTGGTCCCCCCCCATTTCTGTGTTCTTTTTGGATAACTTTTTACATGAACAAACTATAGTTATTACAGTGATAGCTATTTTTCTAATTATAGCATGCATTAATTTCCCATCAGTATTTGGTTTGTTTGTACAAAATAGTTATAAAAATACTATTTGTGGCGTTAGTGTGGAAAACACAATGTTTTACTAATAAAAATATTTTTTTTCTTTTTGTTGAAATGATTATTGAACATTGGGGGAAAAGGCAGAATTACTGTTTTCCTCTATTTCCTTTTGGGTAGCAGATCAGCTACAAATCAAATTGTTGCCAGCAGAAAAATGAAATTGTCATTTATTTTTTGCTTGAAGGAATTCTTTCTAAAAATTATTGTATAACTTTAGGGGCATTTTCGTCTGTATGAAACAGCTTAGTGTAGAGTCCCTAACCTGATGTCCACCAAGTGTTTTTAGAAAGGGGGTGGCAGATGGCGCTTATGCCCAGTAGGGCATCTGATTGGCCACTGGAGATCTGATGGGCTGTGCAGATTTTTTAAAAGTTGCTTCAACAGCAGCTGCCACCACAGCACAAGTAAAAATACTCTTCACTGTGTGACTGAGGGTGAGCTGTGTGTATGCAAGAAAATATTTTTAAACAATATATTCATCTAAAAAGGCATTCTGTTTAACAGCTTCTTCCTGAAATGCTGTATAGTATTAGAATTTTGCATGACCTCACTCTTGTCATTAGTCAGCTCTGCCTCTTTTGACAGCCATTTTGTTGTTGCACCCACCACCTTATGTCACCATTCCAAAGGTGCCCACAGGCTTTAAAAAGTTGGGGACTCCTGGCTTAGTGTAACCTAGTAGATGTATATATCATTATCCACAAACATCTGTGTGTTGACCATGTTGCCAAATGGCTGCATTACTTCCAACTGTATTTCATATTGTTGCAAAGGGCCTAGTTGGGGGAGGGAGAAATACCAAAGTGCATGTGTGGAACACTAGGTATGGCCCTTTTGATCCAACCCCAAATATTTAGACATCTTCCTAATTTAGTACCACAAAAAATTCCAATATGTAACTATTGCATATTTATTAGATTTTAGGTCAGAATTTTTGAAAACTACTACAATTAAAAAAACATAGAGGAATTGATCTGATCTGTGAATTTAACTTTGCAAAAAGCATCTCTTTTGCAAAAAGAAATATGGGAAGGCAATGAATAATGTCATGTTAGAAAACAAAATTTGCACTTCGGTAAAATGGTGTATTCTAAATAAGATATACGTAGCTATGGCAAATTCTCCCATTTATAAGAGAGCGGCTTCCTTGCATATTTTACATGTAAAATTGCAAAAGAAATTTAAGTAAATTGCTAAGATGTAAACTAGTTTTAGGATATAAGATTGCATACTTAAGGGATGTTAACAAATATTGGGGTAGTATAGAACAGAAAAGCAGCTTGGGATATTATGGGACAGAAAAAAGCCGAACGCTTTCCCAATAGTTAGTTACATTAAGGCATACAACTGTTTCTACATGGCTTAAAAAAAAGTAAATTGAAGACAAAGTACCAATATACTACAAGCTCTTATATGTCTTCATAACTATGATAAAGTTTCCCCGAGTTATGTCAGTAGAACTCATGCATTAACAGCACATGCAGCCTCAAAATCTGAACATATTCTCAGAATGGAAGATTAACTCCCCCAGTCAAACCCATTCCAGTGAGGAAGGAAGGGCTCCAATGGCTACAAGAAATTCCATGTGAGTGTGCCTTGCCAAATCTCTTCAAGGTCAGGAAACGTCCATGTGCAACCTGCATGAGAGCAATTCTCCCAAGGTAAGCAGAATGGGGTAGCCTCTGCTTGCACAGACTTCCACATGTACATAAGAGAAGCAAGAGAACTTAGGGTCATCACAGCAAATTGTAAAATTCTTAATGTGCCAACATCTGTAACATTGAAAACTGAATGTATTTATGCTCAGGTCCAGTTCTTTGATATTAAATAGGGACTCTTTTTCATTAGATCTTAATTTTTGTCCTAATTTTGTGTTTGTTCAAAAAAAATTCAGATATTCATGTATTAAAAACGTTATTTGCAAAATTCCAAACAGACTAGATTAATAGATGCTAAAGTTGTGTTACAACTTTAAATGAATTAAATCTTGATAACCTACCTTTGTTGTATTTAATGCTTAAATGTTGCATGTCAAATCCTCCAAAATGACATTTGGACATTTCTTTTAAAACAGTAATTGGAAACACGTTTATAATACTTGATATTTGATGATAAGAAGAGAAAAGGCAGTGCAGTATTTATTGACTAAAATTTGTGATGCCAAGCATAGAGAGAAAATGAAATGTACAACTTAATAACTGGTCCCTTATCAAATTCACCACCTCATTCCATAGCCCCACTACATACTAACATATTCTAATGACTTTTTAAATTTTTGATGCAGAGATTCTAGACTGTTGTTCATGACATGAAAACAGTGGTATCCAAAGTTCAACTGATGACCACAGGACGAGTTAAGCCAAAATTTACAGGATTCCAAATATAAATTTGGCTACTATGACAGTAGTGATGCTTATGCAGAAGTCTCTCTATCTTGAGGCTGAGGCACAGAGAAAAGCTTGAAGGGGCTAGCCTATGCTTGATGCTTATGAAGAAGTCTCTCTATCTTGAGGCTGAGGCACATTATTTGGCAAGTCCTAGCTGAAGGAAAGCTGCAAATACTACATACATTACATTTATGAACACTAAAATAATGTAAAAGTGAAATGAGAACACAGACCTCATAACATCCTCAACTCTTAACCTAAGCTTTTAAGTATTTTCCAGCAGTTTATAAGGTAACCACACAGAAACATTCACTCCTTCACTTCTGTTGTCCTGTCTCTGGGTTTGCCATCAAAGTGGACCGGTCCTGCCCACCTCACAAGGGACCACCAGATCACCCTGATCCTGTGTGGGGCAAGAGTGAGCCACCACGGGCCCCTTGCAAAGCAGGCAGGACCCAGTTGTAGGTGGGCACATACCTGCTCTTCCTCCCTCCCCCCCTCCCATTTCGGGTATGGGCTTTTCTGGGCCCTTTTTGGCCTCCCAATGTGCCCTTGTGCTTCAGGCATTTAAAAGGCTGCATAAGATTATGTTCCAGATTAGAAAATCAATCCTTAAACACTGACCACTGTATCTATGACTATTCTAGCACACTACTATGTATAACTAAGGCCTAGAGATGTCTGGAGAGGTGCACACATGAAACTATGTAATGGTAGAATTGCTTGTCTGTGTGATTTCCCCCAGAAATATTTCCAAAAGAAATATGCCATTATGATCCAGTATCTCTTTTAGGAATCCAAGTGACTGATTGTTCTTGTGTGAATGGCTTTCACATCTAGCCTTCTACTGGAATCATTCCATTTACATGCCAGTGAAAGGAAAGTATTACATCCTAATTTGATCTAGTCTCTCTTTCTGAGCGGAAGAAAACCTTGGCATTTAAGGCTAGTACATGAATATAAAATATACAGTACACATGGATGTGTAGTCCACTAAAAGAAAATCAGTGCTTGGAAATCCATCTCCTATTTTTATTTTTCCTCTATTGCTGGCCTCTAAACAAATTTCTAGTACATTCTAGTACAATGTTTTTACATGTTATGTGCACAGTGTGTATTAACTATCTCTCTGCGTCTAGGTTCAGTTGTAATGGCAAACAATGGTTTGCAGCTTTGTCAATAAGCCCAGAGAATACTTGCGCTCCTGTCCTCCCTTCTCTTCCCCCTCCCCCATGTCCAAGTAATTACATATTTTCTGCTTCACAGGAAACTTGTTTGCTATTATTTTTAAACCTAGCCTGTGTGGCTTACCAAAAGAAACTGTGTACTTAATGACAGAAGAGGAACAATTTTGTACAGAGACGAATTCTAACATGCATAAATGTTTTAAAAAAGAAAGCAATTTAGATCTATCTCACTTCCGTTCTAATAGTCATAGGCCTTAGTCTGAAAACATGTAAGTATCCCACTTGCTTAACTCTGCTCTGTAAGGTTAACTTGGTATAAAATAGTGATGGCGGCATTTAAATCTTTGCAGGAAAAATTCATTTAGTCCAACACTATTTAAATAGAGAGCTTCCCTTCGTGTATAAAATTAGTGGGGGGCCACCATCAACCACTGCTTTTACAACATCGTATAAAATTAGTGGGGGGAAAGGTGGCCACCATCAACCACTGCTTTTACAACATTCTTTCACCAGATTTCTGCCAGCGGTACACTGGATGGATAGCAACTAAGTTTCCAAAGACTTCAAGTGTACACCAGTCTTATAAAGCAATGATTCAGTTTATATATGTGCCAAAAGCAATGGTTAAAAGAGGTACACCCTGACCTAGATAGCCCAAGCCTGATCTTGTCAGATCTCAGAAGCTAAGCAGGGTCAGCCCTGGCTAGTATCTGGATGGGAGACACCAAAAAAATGCCAGGGTTGTGATGCAGAGACAGGCAATGGCACACCACTTCTGAATGTCTCTTGCCTCCTTGAAAACCCTACAGGGGTGCCATAAGTCAGCTGTGCCTTGACGGCATTTTCCACCCCCGAGAGCGGTACAGATAAATGAAGTTAAGATTTCATGGGTCGGGAAATAAGACAATAAAATATAAAACTAGAAGAGGGGGGATGCGACTTTCCACAAATGCTTGTGAACAATGTGATTTTACACCCTTTCCTCATGTTTAGCATACTTAAATAATTCCATCATTTTGGGCCACAAGAAATGCAATACCGACAGAAGCTTAGCCCTAGGCAGAAGCTTAGAATTATACTCCCAATAATGTGTGAGGCTATAGTAACACGTAATGAATTCTGAAAAGAATGAAAAGAATGCAGGGAAGTGGGAGGTACGGGCAGAGGGAGAAGTTGCTCAGTGAGGCCAGTGAGTGGGGCTGTGGAGGGGAGGACTCTCCATCCCTTCTCCTGGTACAATGAAGCTGATGGTCCTTTAACTAGCCACAGATCACAGGAAGTTATTGGCAGTAGGCCAGAGAGAAACACTGGCACATTGTTACAAAAAAGTGTGCCTCCCCATTAAAGTAACATTTTATTAATTGCTACACCTATGGAAGATCATACTAAATAGTTTTTTATTCTGCAAAGACAGAAAAATAAAACCTGCCACTTTTATTGCTGAATGCTACAGCAATCAAGCCAGAGTCCAACACAGTAATGCTGTATTTGATCTGCATAGACCAAGAAGCTGAAACTTAACTCAGACTTCCCTTGAAAACAAATATTGAAGGTTTTTCAGTCCGATCCTCAACATATTAAGCTGGCAGTAAATATGTCCAATGTGAATGGAGCTTACCACCATGCTGGTATGTTTAGGATCACAGTATCAGGGTTCCAAAAGACCACCATAAGAACCTCTCCAATGCTGTTGGGATTTTTAAAAAAGGCAAAGGGACAAGTTTTACGTACTCAATAAAACAAATGCTTTTTTTTCTTGAGATAGTGTGGTTTGCAATGCACATAGCTACCAGTATGAAACACAACTTTATGAGAGCCCTCTTATAAGCAGTTTTATTCCTATCCATGATGGTGGACATTGACAAAAAAACAGAACTTATCTGAGATCTTAAAAAAATAACTTACAAAAGCAGTGATATACACAGCACAGAACAGGTCAGATGGGGAGAGGGAAACAGTTCTTTTAATAGTTAAAATGTAAACGTGAAAAAAGATGGAATAAAAGTCCCTATTTCTTACTTCTATTTAAGATGTCATGTGATAATATTTTACAACGTCCTGCAGGTCTATATATGTATGTGCGCATATCTATGTCTCTTTAACACACACATACATACACCTATCCCTACATATACATACACAGATAACTGTTTGCAGTTCGGTCTTGGGCAACTCTGATATGCCACTTTATAGTCGCTGAAACCAGATCAGGACCCACTTTCTTCACAAAACTGGAAAGATGGCTAGGAAAAAAAACGGTGGGTCCAATTGTGGCTGAGATATTTTCTGTCAAACTGTACACAGGGATGAGTAATTTTTCTTCTTTAGTAGCTCTCTGGAGAGGGCCAACTCAGTGCAGCCTTCACGAAGAGACTTGGTAATGGATCACACACTCATTGTCATGCTGGGGGAATACTGAAAAATAGGAATCCACATTTTAGCAGCGGCTCATTCATTTCCTGTGATCCTAATCATAGTTTCATGTGATAGGTATTTGTGTACCTCTATCTCTGTCTTAAGGAATATACATTTCTCTTACCTAGTATAATTTCAGATTGTATGTAAGCAGACATTTGTTATGCAAACTGTGCTACCAAGGGAATATGGAAAAATAATACAAACAAATGACAACTGTTTGGGAGGATTCCTCCCTTAATTAGTTTTCCTTCAAAGCTGCTGGAAAGGTGGTGGACTGGGGCCACGGTGCTTTGGCACATCAGCCCTTCATGACATTTGCCCAATGGGGAAAACACTTTAATAGAAAGACCATGAATGTCCCGTCTCATTCAGTTTGACCGTGAGGGCAATGATGGGAATTGATTCAATCTGCTAAGCATGAATCTCATTGAAAAACTTAGCTCTTTTGCACCTTATTTTGTATGCTTTTTTATGGCACCAACCTAAAATGTCTTAAGAATTTGGCTTTATTCCATAAAAAGTGCTTAAAGTTCATCACAAAGGCTAGCCCATTAGATGTAATTTGGAGCAGAATATTTAGTTTTACCAATAAAGAATACCATTCATAATATGCTGCTAAATGAGTTAATAAGTAAAATTATGTCGTCTAATTAATAAATGAAATACTATGTCAAACCTTGTCTTGAGTTTTAGACAGAACTTCTAGCTGACAGGGACATCCAAATAAGCAGCACTGATTTCAGTATTTAATGCTACTTTAAAAGATACTGAGGAATCTCATAGACGGTCTAATAGCATATCGATAGTCCAGTAAATTTTTGATAGTGACCTTCAGAAAAAGCCTTTTAGACATTTAATTGGATTTGTATCCTGCCCCATCTTAAAGACTCAGGTTTGCAGTGATTAAAGAACTGAAGACCTAACAGAATGATAACATTTTAAAAATCTAAATTTAGGAAAATACTCTCATCCCCTCATTTAATTTGTAGCTAGCTACCTAATAGCAAGAAAATCCCTACAAATTGGCCAAATGGGAAATCAGTAGGCAGTAGCATCAGACATCTTATAAACACAAGGAAATATTTTATTATGTATGTATGTATTTATTTATTAATCTCATGTGCACCCCACCATCCCCGCAAATAACAAAATACTAATTAACTTTTCTCGCTTTTACAATGATTTTCTTCAGTCCAATTTTTATGAAGCAATCCAAGTTATGGCAAATTGTGAGATAAGTATAAGTTACATAGCACTAGACTTGGATAAACTGTTTATCAGGCCATACCAGTTATGATCACTGGTTGTACAGAAATCTTCTTCCATTAAACTTTGCTATTTGGCTTGAATTAGGACTTAATGTTCCCTGATTCAAGACAAACAATAAAGTTTTATATCAGTTGGTCAGTCTGTATGAGTGGAAAAGTGTATTCTGTAGAATTAAATACATTTTAGAAATAAAGTATCAGGTACCATCTTACTTCAAAGCATAATTTAAAATACTCCCATGAATCTGTTCCTTTCAGTATCATGTTTATTTCTGAAAGAACACTAGAGGGCATCTTTGTTTATAGTGATTTTCATTTTATTGTATAGTTTTCATCAGCCCCACTGATCTTGAATCACAAGCTTTCTGAAGATACTAAATGTCAATATTTACTCTATATCATTTTAAGGCTGCAATTTTCACATTTTGTTTCTTCATATGAGCTGACTTAAAATTGGAGCAAAATGTATATACAGGTGAAAAAAACCTTTCAGATTCTTCTTAGGTATGAAGGTGTTTAGGAAGCCCAGAGATTTTGCTGATGTACTGTAAACTGTATACTTTTAAAAAGACTGCCATATGGCACTGCACAAGAATCAAGCACATTTCTATTGGCGCAATGATTATGTGACAAAACATTACCTGTCTCCTCCTTTTCCTATCAGTACTAGTACTCACAATTCCTTGCAGATGTCTACCTTATAACGCCAATACGAAAGGGTGTTTGTAAGATATTTAATGCATGATTATTTAGAATAATTTGTTTTAAAAACAGACAACAACACATGCACTTTCATGGGAGGATGGTGTTTTTAGGCCTACTGACAATTATACTTCAAGTTTACATATGTAAATAAGTTTGTGCAGAACTCTCCAACAGTAATAAAGGAACATTTCACTATTTGACAGGTCCTTCATTTTCTGGTATAGTGCACAGCTATGAGATGCTGGACATCAGATCACTTAGGCAACAGCAAGCATGCCAGCCATGGGAAGGAACATTTACCTACTAACCAGTTCTGTACTACAGTAATCTATTACTTTGGCTTTTCCCTGGTGTTGGCTGGGCTTCTCAGGAAATGAAGCAAGAACATGAATCAGTGACTGTCATCCATTGACAAAGTTCTTCAATGCAGATAATACTTCGACATTTTTTGGTGCAACGTTGTGCATGAAATACAAACTGTGTATCATAATTGTGATGGGCATGTTTTCATTTTGTAATTAAACCCTCATGCACAACGTGGTGGTGACAGCTGTACATGGTGGTTTTAAACAGCTTCCAAGCATCATCTAGGGATCTGACTTTTGTGTTTCCCTGTCAGCTTCCTTTTAACTATTCCTCTCATTTTTGTAAAGTTCCCTCTTTTAAATAAAATATTACTGTTTTAGACTTTAGGGGTAGCTTTCCATCGACATCAATGCTGAACTTAATTGCATAGTGTGGTCCCAACTGGTACAATGACCTCTACATCTCTCACCAAGTCTTAAGACCTGCTCAGAACCAAGTCTAGGGATCACTACCCCTCTCTTTGGCTCTGTGACCAACTTTTCCAGTACACTGTCATTTATGATGTCTAGGAATCTCATTTCTACATGACTGAAACACATGTTTACTCAGTCAATTTGAGGGTAGTTGAAGTATCATAATATCTGCTTGAGTCCTCCACCTCAAGATCTACCTCAAGGGTTTGATCAGGTGAGTGATAGTACACTCCCACTTTTATGTAACCCTTAGGGCCCAGAATTTCCACACATATCGCTTCTGTTGGGGAGTTAATTCCCCTGATGTTTTCTAACTTATTTGATTCTATGCCCTCTTTGATATACAACACAACACCTCCTGCCTACAGAATTTATGCCCAGGGATGACTGCATCCCATATATTTTGCCCACTCTACCATGCTTCTGAGACACCTACTATATCTAAATTGTCACTGAGCACCAAACATTCCAGCTCCCCCATCTTGGCGTAGAGACTTCTAGCACTGGCATACAGACACAGTCACTTCCCCGTTCACTGGTAACCTCATTTGATCATTGAACCTCATGTGACTGTCCTGAGATTTAATTCAAAGGACTGATCATATTTTAATTTAGTATACTGTCAAGATATTTCATCTGCATACATTTGAAGTCATGCCTTCTTCCCTCATAGTGTCTCCTCATAGAAGTTCTAACAAGATCCACTGTATAATAATACAAGGGTTGATCCAGTCAAGCTGAATGTCGTTCTGTATCTTCGTGGAAGTTTTGTTCAACAGCTTTATCATGTGCTGTTGAACAGTTCTGGGTTGTCTACTGTTTTCAGTTACTGAATTCTATACAGTAATTTTGAGTTTGATACTAAATAGGTTTATCATTTCCATATAAATATGATGGAAAATAGGTTTCACAGGCAAGAACCATGGCTGAAAGATGCATACCACAGTCACTATATGCACTATAAAGCTTGTGGCTTGATAGAGTCTTTTTATTATGTTATCATAATCTGCAGCCAGGAGCAGGAAAATGGTAAAAAGTTTAATATGATCTCTGATACTTGTTTCACCCTTTGGAGTAATTTTAGGAAACATATAAGAAGCTGCATGACTATTTAATTTACTGATATCCTGCAATTTAATCCAGGAATCATTTATTTATGTAAAATATTTCTCTCCTGTATTATCTCCTAGGACTCAAGTGTATATTTCTGTGATAATGATGATGCCTCAGTTACTAAAAGACACAGGAAACAGTTTTTGAAATATAGTTGCTCTGAATTGTACATGAGTGATCATTGGTAACTTTTACCAAAATGTATACGTTTAATTCTATATGCTTTGATGTAAAATGACATTGATTTGGCCCTATGATTTACAAATAGTTGTCAGTGTATGATCCTACATCCATTACTCCAATAGTTCTTATTTTTCTGGAAATTAATTATCCAATGACTGAAGTAATTCTGCAAATGATACACTATTGTGCATACAATTTTTAGTGTACTAAGTCTGGGAATTCTGTGCCTTTGTCGTATTAAAGGTAAAGGTTCCCTTGCTTGAAAGCCAGTCGAATCTGACTCTAGGATTGCGGTGCTCATCTCTGTTTCAAAGCTGAAGAGCCAGGGCTGTTATCTTCCCTCTGAAGTGGTACCTATTTATCTACTTGCAATTTCTTGCTTTCGAACTGCTAGGTTGGCAGGAGCTGGAACTAGAGACGGGAGCTCACTCTGTCATGCAGCACCCGGGTCTTGAACTGCTGAACTACCGACCTTCCACAGCCTGCAGTTCAGCGTCTTAACCACTTGAGCCACCGCAGCTCCTTTGTTGTCGTATTACAACTGATCTAAATAATGTTATTTTCCCCATGGGAGCATTCATCACTGTTTCAAAACATTATTTTAAATACACATACATTTACGTCTGATCTGTTATGTACAAAGTTCAAACAAGATGCACCAATATCTGTAGAAAACTTCCAATACTGATAAGCAAAGGAAAAGGGAGCAGGTAATGCTTTGCACTAGAAACATTACCACAATATAAATATGACTGATGCCTGCAAAGTATTTGATAGGCGTCTGAGTGAAAAATAATTGGTGTATTATATACATTAAAAGGGCCACAATTCTAGGCTGTACAAATTATCCGTAAACAGAAGATGAAATCCAGTGTTTCAAAGGCTATTCACATTTATTGCAATATATTTCTACTGACTGGAAGGGTGCAAATATCTGTTCCACTAAGAACATCGTTACAAACAGCCTACTGAAAACTTTACAGAAGACTTGGATATGGACAGTAGGGCCGCTGATAATCTAAATTTACAGTGAATATTGTCTATTATTGCAGTTCATTTTTCTGCCTCATTTCCAGGGAACCTGCCCCAGGCGGCTTACAAAATAAGACATAATAAATAACATAGAGGTTAATTAAAACCAGGCATTAAAAACCCAGCAAGAATGTTACAACATAAAATAAGCAGCTTAAACTGAATTTTAAATGATTTTCAGACTGAAAAGCAGACCTATAAAAAGGTATTAAAACCAACCCCTTAATTAAAGCCTGGTCACCTGGATGGTGGAACAAAACACAATAATTAGTGTTCTCTTGGTAGCATAAAAGCCTCTAATGTTGTTGTTTTAAAGTAAATAACTGGCATTTTAAGATGCCCTTGTAGTCACTTTCTGGATTCTTCCAAGACAGTTACCATACTTTAGGTTCAAAGACATGCGGTGCCCACTAAGAGAGTTTTACTGGTTGAAAAGAACATATGTAAACACAAAACAACCTAGTTAAATGTTAGCAGACTAGAATGAATGAATGAATGAATGAATGAATGAATGAATGAATATGGTCAAAGACCAGCACAAAATCAGATACAGTACCAGAAGGTAGCATACTGGTATGATGTGCACAGTTGGGCATAAAGCTGGATGGGGATGAAGTTGGGCCATAAGAAGAGTTCAGCATACTGTTCCACTTTCCAGCATTTACTCCAATCCTAATCACCCTCGTGGTGATATTCTATTTAAGAAGTAGCATCAGTGTCTTATGTCTAGTTTGACTGTCTTAGCTCAGCCACAAACAGAACATGCTTTGATAAATGGCTAGCTCCCTTGATGTCAGCTGAGAATTAGTGACAACAAAATGAAAATGCAATGACAAATATGAAAAAATACCATGAAGCATGTACCAGTGCCACATGAACGTGACAGTTATTAATATTTTGAATAAGAAATGCTGTATGGATTCTGCATATATAGAAACTATAGTTTTGTTTCTTTACCAATTGCAGCTCAAGTCCTAAACCTTTCAGATATGTGGGAAATAACCTTGGTTATGTACATGTAAATAGTTTCAGGTTTAGATGTGAAATTTTAAATTCTGAAATTGAGTATCAATCAAATGTAACAAAGTTATCAAGCACTGACCAAATATCAAAAGACAATACTCACGCTTTCACTCTGAAAAGGATTTAGGAAGTTTCCACCCATTTCACCATCATCACGAGGGGTCCCGGGCTGATTGCTCATGCTCATATTACTGGGCGAGTTCTGTTAGAAAAACAAACAGAAAAGACAAGTCTGTATACGTAAACTCATTTATAAATGCTTCAGAACAGTTTTTCACGTACAAACTTAAAAAATCTACAGATTAAAGTATAAATCCCACTAGTATCTGAACATAATTCTGTCTTGCTGCAAATGGTGAGGGTGAGCCTAATGCAGAAATAGACTTCCAAATGTGAATTATTTTCTGGAATCTCTCCCTTGTGTACAGGGAATGGTGAGGTGTGGATCCTACATATTTCAGAAGATCGACATCTTTTATTGTAAGTTATGCTTATATAGTATGATTTTATATTGATTGACAGTTTTAACTGGAATTTAACTGGAATTTTAATGTACATTTATTTATGTTGTTAGCCGTCCTGAGCCTGCCAAATGGCGGGGAGGGCAGGATATAAATGTAAATATAAATAAATAAAATAAATAAATAAAATATGAATATATCTGTGTACACTTAACTCAGTGCCTTCTGATAGCCCTGACAACACCTTTTTATAGGTGGGAATGAGGACTGAACTTATACTCCCGTTTGCCAAGAGGTGAAGGAGGAACCAGGATGACCTAGTGTTACCATGGTTTGGTATTAAGCACCAGCACTGAACTGATACTAACCTCTTAACTAGGATCTGAAATTGATTTAAATTCCTTGTTAAATTATAGTTAACATGTGTGAAGAAATGCATTTTTTCCTGGCAGGTTTGAATGAGGAAAAACCACCACATTGCAAGTTTTAAGTTTTTCCCCCCTCTGGGCAGAGAACAGGCTGGAAGGGGGAGGGGAGTCAGTCCCATCTGCTTTCCAGCTTACCTTCATACAAATGCTAAACAGATCTAGCAAAAATGATAATGAGTGGGCCAAACTCTCCCCCTTCCCCAAGCAGGGAACAGAGAGTTGGAGGTGTTGAATGCTAGAGAGATCTCCAGGAAAAGCCTCTTTGACCTGGCCTGACCTACTCAGGGGGTGGGGAAAAGAGAGGTGATAAAAACCCCTTGCAGCAGAAGGAGGTCTCTTTTCCTTGGGTGCTGCATCCATGAGAGGACACAGACCACTCTCCATGGGAAAGCAGGCATTGACCATGTGCTCGCCTCAAGAGCTGGAGCAAGGTTCAAGGTAAGGGACCCTCTGTAGAGATCTGAAACTTCTTAAAGCTAAAGAGCCTGTCCCATATTTTAACAACTGGTAGGACACGGAGGACTGCATTTTTATCTATTTCTTTTGTATTCGTTGTTCAATCTGGTGTTGTACTAAAAGTATACATATAAGCATTTTCTTTGCTAGCATTGGTTCTTTGTACCACTGATCTCCACCATCTTGGACACGCTATTTTGAAAAGGAGCGCCAAGGGGAAAGCAAGCAGTTGGCAAGTGGCTATTCCCCCAGGGGCGTCTAAGGTTGTGAACTGTCCCTGTGGTGACCAGGTGCTGGGCAGCGGGAGACACAGAGGCAAGGCCTCAGAATGTGGAAGAGAAGCTGGGAGCTGTGGTTTTTTTTATGCCCTCATAGGGGATTTTTTATTTGCATTTTCTATAAACTACAATGAAATTAGGGAAGGGATCTACAAACTATAGGAGAAAGTAAAGAAAACCCACTAAAAACCCAAGAGATGGTGGTCATACATACTGCTTAACTAATTAGCTTTTAGCTCAAAGTTCGATTCAAGTTCATTGAATGTGGTTATCTAGTAGTCAGTTTAAACTAAGAAATAAATTTAAACACCACCATTTCTGACTTCTTAAAAAGCAACATAAGAAATAATTATGACAATACATTGTAAGAGATTTCAGAGTGTAATAACAAAAAATGAGAAGCTGGGAGCTCTGACCCTCCCAGTGGGTAATTCCTGTGAAGGTCAGATGGTGGCGGTGGACTACGTGAGAGTGGAAGAAAAGCCCCTCCAGGTGTTGAGAAACACCTGGAGGGCAAGGCAGAATAGGGCCTCCAGGCCAGGCCAGGCTGGTTTCGCCACAGTATGAATCATGGATACGGTGAGCAGGGATAGAACAGAAAGAATTCACTCATATAAGATGACAGGCTAGGAAGATGAAGCGTATGAACATACTATGCCCATCATGAGGTTCATCTGTATCCGTGGAATTGAGGCCCATATTTGTATATATATTATTTGTACTTTACAGCTTCAAAATAAGCAAAAGCATGTAATCAGAGATTCTACACTTAGGCTATGGTCACACATCTATATATATATAAAAGAAAGTCCCCTCACTGTAAAATCAATGCCCAGGCCAAACCGCTGGACCAAGAAACCCAAAATAAGGGGAGTGCATTCCTACCATGATGTCAACGCCCACTACGAAGAGATATCTGAGAAACATGACTCCTAAAGGGGTAAAAAAAGGGGCAAAATGTGTTCCTCTAATTGTTTTCCATGTGCCTGGCATGGCAATTGAGTTTATGAATGTTCATGGGGAGATAGTAAAGGGCCTTTCTAGGAGCCTGCTCCAGAGTGAGCTCACCAAGCAGCCTGGTGATCCCAGCATCTGAGGGCAGAACCACCACTGTGGGCTACAGAGAGGTCCTTCAGCAGAGGAAAAAACCCCCAGTACATATACCTCACTTCATCCTTTACACTACAGTCTTCCTACAACAAATGCTACCTTTCAAACTTCACATAATCAGTATTATAACTGGATTTATGGAACTTAAATACCGTAGTGAAGCACGGGTATCAGGCTAGTACAAAATAATCCACTTTCAATCCACTTTCAGTGCACTTTCCAACTGGATTTTACTGTATGAACAGGCAAAATCCAGTTGGAAAGTGCGCTGAAAGTGGATTGAAAGTGGATTATTTACTGTGCAACCACAGCCTTTAAGTACCTAAAAGGGAAGGGAAAAGTAACATGTTGTACATGTGCCAAGTAACTATGTGGGGTGGCAGCCTTTCTCCCTTTACCATCACAGCACAACATCTTTCTGTAATGGTTCAAGGATCTGACTTCCACATTTGAAATTTTTGACATCTGTAGCTGTAAGACCCGAAGAAGTCATGTGAGACGGGATTTTTTCCACTGGTCCACGTAGTCTTTCTAGCCTCATTAATCACAACATCTTGTGAAGTCCTGTGTACTTTAACATATGAATTGGCGTAGCCCATGAGTTGGGCTTGTATATATGCTGTACACAGGGCCAGCTCCAGGGTTTTTTGTACTCTAGGCGAGGCCACCTTCTAACCCCCTCCCCCGTACGTGCCCACCAATTATGGGGTTGCCAACCTCCAGGCGGGGCATGGAGAGAAGGAAGTCCCACCACATATGCCCACATATTCAAGCTCAGATAACAGATCTCAGCAAACAAATCTCCCTTCATTTCTCAGGATGAATCTATTTCCTTCCCCCCAAAAATGCATGGAGTAAATAAATAAAATGTATTGAAGAGCTCTGCTTTTTAATGTATCCAGCTCTTTCTCTCCCCCTCTGAATTAGGGATGCCAGCCTCCAGGTGGGGCCTGGGGATCTGGATCTGGCAACCCTCCCCCCCCATCCCCCGCTGATGGCCAGGGTGGACCTGGCAACCTGAGTGCAACTTTGCTGTAAAAAAAAAAAAGCAAAAACAATGATAATTGTGCATAGGTATATATGCACTCTGAGTATGTGAAGTTCATATACTGAGAGAAAAGCAAAATAGGTTTCTGTGAGTAGTTACTAAACTTATTGGCTCCTATTCTGTTTTACACATGCCTAGACATCCTATCTATCCTACCTATCAATGGTGTTTGTTATGTTCTGTTTAAAACCCTGTAAATGGAGTACAAATTGTGGAAGGGTTGGAAAAACCCTATGTTGGGTACAAACAGTAGAAGAAGATAGTAGAAATACCTTCAGAAACCATATGTATATTGGCCAGATACGTATTTAGGCTGGGGTCTAGAGCAATGTTCCCTCTAAGCTGTGGAGTCTTGTGAGCAAAAATTCTACTTTGTGAACTACTAGCATTAAAGTTGTGAGCGAGTGATTTGGCTACTGCTTAACCTAGTTTGCTCTGGAGCCATCCTTCCTGAGCCGAGACAAAAATGTGTGAGCTGGAGGCTTAAAAAATGTGAGCTGGCTCACACTAACTCAGCTTAGAGGGAACACTGGTCTAGAGTGTCCCATAGTAAGTTGCCTGCATGCAGCAATGTTTTGAGATCCTTCTAACCTTCTCACATTGCCTAATGAGACTCTCCCTCCCACATTGCCTAATGAGTCTCTCCCAAACTCGGTAGAATTTTAGGTATGGCTGCCAATGTACCATGGTCTGATTTTTTTTTTAAAAAAAAGAGAACCTCCATTGTGCCCACAGACCACATTCTTTGGGGTCTTCTAAGGGTTTAGCCAGATAATAATTCAGTGCATTATGAAGCCTTTCTGCAGTTGCCCCTCAAGTACCCTAAAGGCAACAGTGCAATTTCCAATCCATGCATTATTGGAGAGTGGGACTGGAGAATACGTTTATGCTATGGTGAAGTTTGTATTTCCATCCCTTCTTTAAAAAGAAGCAAGATAGGGACGTACACTTCAGCATCCCCCCTGCCGCCCCCCCGAAACGAAAGAACTTACCAGTGCTTCTGGGCAGTGTGGGCGCACTTGTCGTGTACGTGAGTCCGACTGAGCCTACACACGCCCAGGCACTGGGGCGACGAGGGGAGGCACAAGGCGGGCCCACCGGCAGTCTCTGGGGGAAGGCAGGAAGAGGCAGGGCTTCTGGGTGGCGTGGGCGCATTTGCCGGACTGACACTCGCTAGCCCTATGACTGAGCCTACACGCGCCCGGGCGCTGAGGGGAGGTGCGTGAGGCAGGCCCGCCGGCAGTCTCTGGGGGGAAGGCAGGAAAAGGCAGGGCTTCTGGGCGGCATGTGGGCTTTTGGCAGGGCCGCTGTGGTGTGCAGTTTAGCGTGGTGCCCACGCCCGCCCAGCCCTAGGGCCAGCCAGTCAGAACTCAGAGGCGGCACTGGTGCCCACCTGGTCATGGAAGCCACTAGCCAGGGAGATCATGCAGCCTGCTTTTGGTGGAGGCTGGGGGGCTGGGTCCTGTTTGGTGCCCCTAGGGCCGGCCCACGCTCTAGGCGAATGCCTAGTTCGCCTAGCGGGTGAGCCAGCCCTGGTTCTACATTGTGTTCCTTGTATACCAGTTACATTGTGCAAAGTGTAGTAGGCTTTTACAGCCTTTGTTAAGCCTAAGAGTGAGTTTGTTAATTATTTTGTTTAAATAATACACCATTTCAATTTCTGGAAGTACTAGCATCCTTTATTGTTGATAAGTGTCTGTATACAGTTACAAGATCTTTGAGTTGGATTACACACAGTGCTTTAGTTGTTTCTGATATCCTTACACACCGTGGTCCTTTGGTTTTGTATCATAACAGTGGCAGCAACAACTGGTATGAAAGGCTACAGAACTGACAGGGTAGTCACCACCCACCTGCAAGACCAGCCCTGAAAGCCAGTTGCACTGTTTCTCAACAGGCTAGTGATAGCAGAAAGGAACTGTTAATGGAAGCAATTTAGCTCCACCATGCCCTGCTCACATAGGACTCTTTCTGAACTAAGCACTTTTGAACTCAGACTATTTCAAAAATATTTTCTGAGATGGAGCACTGGTACTGTAGGTGTATATAGTTCCAAGAAGACAAAAATCCTTTTGGATGTGACAAATCCTTGAACAATACCTGAGCCAGCCTATACCCGAGCCAACAATACCTGAACTGCAGCCTATGTTTGTCGCTTTAACATTGCTTTAAGTTCATTTAACCAACCAGGCTATGGTACATCAATTTTAAACAGGACTGGCAATTAGGGACCATTTTTATCCAGGAAAATATATAAACAAATCCTTTCAGTAGATCATCATGATTTGGTTTTACCTTCCAAAAAATGATTAAATCTGCTTGCACAATCTCTTGAAAGTACTGATACTCCAACAACAACTATTTATCTAGACTATACTTCCATATTAAATCTGACTGAAAGAGACTGCACTAAAAATTAAAAGTGTACTTACTTTGGAGATACTGTCCATGTCTCCCGAGCCTTAAATTAAAACCACAAAAAAGTTTAGTTTTTATTTTCATTTGATGGAAGAGCAATTTTCAGAGTTGTCTATGTTTGGCCAAGTTTTGATCCAAGAGCAAAGGGAAGCAGTGATTTAGCTTCTACTATGAGAAGTGCCAGAGTTTCTGAAATTCCTGGCAAGTTATGGAGCTCTTCACAGAGTGCTCTCACCTCTTTCATGAAGCTCTGTTATAACTTCTAAAGCAAATGCACTTTATTACACATGCAAGAGGACACAGTAGAGATAAATATGTGGCTATGTTCAGACATCATTCATAAATGTTGCTTGTTTGTAGGGAGGGTGGGATATATATGTAAATATAAATAAATAAATAAATAAATAATAAAATGAGCCAGAAATTCCACAGGGTCACAAACACTCGCTCCTCTGCTCCTTAACAGAGCTGAGAATGAAGACTTCCAGATCTGAAACTAGTTCAATGAACTGTGGATACACTGCCTACAGACTGGGATTCTAAACTATTAGGATCTCAATTTGTAGGCAAGGAAAGAACTACAATGTGTGCCCAATGCTGACGTTAAAGCCTTTGACTTCTTTCAACCCAGGAAGTTTTGGCTCTGTTCACAGGAGGTAAAGGAGAGCATGCAAGTGCCCAAGGACTTCCTGGTTCCTTCTCCTTATGAACCACTTGAAGCTTGTTTATGACACTTCACTGCAGTCCCTCAGGCATTCCTAACAGTTGGAGAATTTTTGCTTGAATATCTAATTCTCCTAGCTGGACAGCAAAATTAAAAAATATGATGGCAGAAATTCCAGATGAGGTATTCTGGACCAAATAAGTTCTCTTACTGCAGGCTACAAAACTAAGATCCTTACCTAGTGATCCATTCATATGATGTGAATCCATTCCACCCAGTCCACCCATTGGCCCATCAGACCCTGGTCCCATTGGAAACTGAAAAGAGGAAAAATTTATTACACTACAAGCATACTAATAAGTAATTTGCACTGAGAAAGAAAATATGGTAGTATAAGCTGCACTGAATAGAATGAACTATCGTGTGTATATTTATTGCCAATATCACAGCTAAATAGTAAAAAATTCAGATGACTAGGAAATGGCCTAAACAGCATATTCTCACATAGTGAGCACTGTTGAAGATATGTGCCTAAGAGCAGCGGCTTGTTGCAGCCAGAACAAACATTTCTGTTGTAGTAAAGATCCAGTGAACTAAGCTAGCATTCACTATGTATGTAATTAATGCATCCCACATTAACGAAGATGAGAAAGGAAACATATATAAGACATACACAGAAATATATATAAAACATCTGTCATGTATCCCTTTGTATTGTATTCATTATGCACAGGGGTGGGGTTTTTTTGGGTGGTAGTTTTCACTGACTCTGAGTACTGGCACATTTTACGGGCTCTCTCAAGTCCTGAGGGGGGAATTGGTGAAAATTGGTGCAAACTTATAAGTACTCGCACCTTTAAAAACAAAAACAAAAAACCCTGGTTCACTCACATACATTCTAAACTAATATTTACATTAGGTCTGTTGGGTCCAGGTGGTACTGTGTTCATTAGAGTGTACATGTTGTCTCCCGAGTTGGTTGAATCTGGAAAAAAAAAAACTGTTTTGAAACATCAGGTAGTAAAAAAAAAAGTCAGTGAATATACTGAAATGTCAATTCAAGACACACCCACAAAGTGAAATAATGGGTTTGGATCCAAAGAATCAATTCTGTAGATAAAAGGATATCCATCAAATCTGTTAATCTGCAGTGGAAGTACTCATTTCAATGGAAGTGCTCATTTTCGAAGTACGTTCAAACTGTACTGACACATAATGCTAATATCCAGTCAACCCATGCTAAGCTATTTCCCTTGTAAATTGTCGTTGGTTAGACTATGTTTGTAAGCCGAAGATTTTGTTTGATGGAAACGTTCTGAAAAAGGGAAAAACAAAAGAGATATTGTGTAGGCCCCAATAGAGGTTTCCCTATTTTAACAAGCAAAATACTGCATTTGTCTGTCTTCACCATTATTCATTAATATCTGTTGAGAAGTAAGGATGAGTGGCTTGCCCAAGAAAGCAGGTAAGCCTACTACTGAAAATGGACTTAAATCCAGATCCCTCAAATTGAAGGCTGCTAGACTGCCTCTACTAAAGGTTCATGATTAAGCACTTTCCTAATATCTGTCCAAGTAGTAATTACAATGAGGAGAAACATTCTGTGCTTTCAAAATGGATGAATGAAAGAGAAGTAAACATAAATTGGCTATAATCTATCAAGATCCAGATACAATTTTGAATCAGGTCAAATATCCTTTGAGATGTGTTGATAGTTTGACATGTCTATATCCTATATCATGTGTTTGACATGTCTATATCCTATATCAAGTTTTAGAGCCTTGATATCATAATTTAGTCAGATTCAGACACCTTTTATGGCATAACAGTATATAATAAATACATTTAAGAAGATAATTTAATTCCAGTAAGTAAATTTAGACAATAAAATATGTGTATTATGTAAAAAGAATGTATCTAAGTGTGGCTGATTCTGCTAAGAATTTTGCAATCATAATTGTAGTATCAGTATTATCATCATTAAGAAAATATTGAACAGTTTAAAGATTATTAGCAAATAAGCGTGGTTGAAGGCGTAAAAGTTTCATATGTGAGGATGTGTGCAGCTAGCAGTCCAGAATAATATGGAAGATTGAATCTGGGGCCATGCTGGAACATTTGCAGAGTCTTTCCAGGGTGTGTGTGTTGTTAGATCGACCCTACAACATGTTTGAGGGAAAGACGTTTAGCTGAGCCAACGGTAAAGGCTCTATGACAATTTAGTCAATGGCACTGAAATCCACAGTCACTGTTCTAAACTTACCATTACAGTAAATCCAGGCAAATTTATTACAAAGCCTGGACAACAGTGAGGGTAAAAGTCCAATCTGGCTGTTTGAAAGGTATTTTTGTTTGTAAAACTTTCAAAATGTTAGCTTGTAAAAACCAGAACCCAGATAATATAAAATCTAAATAATCCATTTAAGCTAGGGTTGCCAGGTCCCATCTTCTCCACAATGGGGGGATTTGGGGGGCAGTCCCCAATGTGATGATGTCATGCAGAGTGATGTCATCATGTTGTGGACACAGTGCCATGCACACATGCCCCCCGCTTTCCCCCCAAACAATGAGGAATTTCAGACAAATGATATAATCCGGAAGAGGAACGGTTCCCAAACGGTTTCTGGTCTCTCATTTCAGACAGAACCGTTTTAGAACCAGTTCCCTACCGAAATATATTTGTAATTTCACACACAATCACTTCTGTCCCATTTAGGAAACGGGGCTGAAGCGTTTTACCTGTCAACCGCTTCCAAGTAGTCTTCAGTTTCCTCTCCCGTTTCCGATGTGCATTCCCCCCGCCCGGTGATCTCCAGCTTTTTTTTTTTAGCATTTGCTTTATAGCGTTATAGCAACACCATTGGAATGCCTGGAGTGTTGTGTTATAGCGCTCTAGCGCTCTAAAACGAATGTTTTTTTTAAAAAGCTGGAGATCGCCTGCGCAGGCGAAGAATGGCGGGAAAAAGCGGTGCAGTCTGAAATGGCAAACTGCTTCAGATCCAGCTCTTTACCAGAAGGGGAAAGCCATGTGTGAAATGGCAGCCCTATACCAGTTCATGACGGATCAAAAACGGCTTCAAACCAGCTTAAAAAAGGTAATCTGAAATTCCTCAATGATACAATAACATTTAAAGTGCTCGCAACAGTAATCCATCAATAAATTAAACAGCGTACTATGCGATGATATCCTAAAATCCCGACTTAATGGTAGTCCGGTCTCCCACGGTATTATGGCTTGATCTCCTAACATTGGCGACCCATTACCACAGGTGTTAATGCTGGTAATAGTTGATGGTAGTGGTAGGCGGCTCCTAAGCTTGGTGGAAGAGCTCAATTTTACAGAACCTCTGGAACTGTACAAGGTCCTGAAGGGCCCTGGGTCTCTTCCAGGAGCTCATTCCACCAGGAAGGAGCTGCCACTGAAAAGACCCTGGTAGCTGCAAGCCTGGCATCCTTGGGGCCTGGAATGATTAATCGGTGTTGTGACCCCAACCGTAGTGTTCTCTGGGGTACATATGGGGAAAGGCAGTCCCTCAGGTAGGTTGGACCCTGGCCATATAGGGCTTTAAAGGTGAGTACCAGCACCTTGAAGCAAATCCAGTATGCTATTGGCAGCCAGTGCAGTGCCTTCAGCACTGGCTGGATGTGCTCCCATCTAGGGAGGCCCATCAAGAGCCTGGCTGCGGCATTCTGCACTAGCTGCAGCTTCCAGATTTGTGACAAGGGCAGCCCCATGTAGAGAGCGTTACAGTAGTCTAATCTCGAGGTGACCATCGCATGGATCACTGTAGCTAGGTCGTCACGGTCGAGGAAGGGAACCAACTGCCGAGTCAGCTGAAGATGGTAAAAGGGCGACTTAGCAGTGGCTTCCGCCGCTGGCACCAATGACGCCCCGTCAAAGGATGGGAGCAGGATCCCCATCGCTGAACCACCCCGACTCAGGCACAGGACCTTTGTCTTCGCCGGATTTAGTTTCAGCTGGCTCAGTCTAAGCCAACCAGCCGTGGCCTGCAGTGCCTGGTCCAAGTCTTCCGGACTGGAGTCAGACCGGCCCCCCAACATCAGATAACAGGACCTTTGTCTTCGCCGGATTTAGTTTCAGCTGGCTCAGTCTAAGCCAACCAGCCGTGGCCTGCAGTGCCTGGTCCAAGTCTTCCGGACTGGAGTCAGACCGGCCCCCCAACATCAGATAAAGCTGGGTGTCATCAGCATACTGGTGACACCCCAGCCCATACCTTCAGGCAATCTGGGCAAGGGGGCACATATAGATGTTAAACATTGGGGAAAGCACCGCCCCCTGAGGCACACCGTACTCAAGCGGGTGTCTCTTGGACTGCTGTTCCCCTAGCACCACCCTTTGTCCCCTACCCTGGAGAAAAGAAGCAAGCCATTGCAAGGCTAGCCCCTGTATCCCCACGTCGGCGAGGCGGTGGGTAAGCAACTGATGGTCGACCATGTTGAACGTGGCTGACAGATGTAACAACA